CCACATGTTAGCTAATGTTAGCCTTGGTCGCTTTGCAGTGTGCACCACCCAGGTCAGGTGGGATTTAGCAAATGTATTTGGCGCCCAGGACGGCAACTAAGGGCTTTTTCACACCTTGGTCGTTTGGTCCGGACTTTTTGACTTTCCAGTTTGGTCTGCAGGTGTGAAAACTACCCCCGGACCAGGGTCCTGACCAAATGGCAGAATTTGGTCCGGCCAAAAGCGGTGGTCTCGGTCCGGACCAAATGAAACCATGGTCCAGTCCGTTACTAGTGTGAAAGCATTTTTTTTTTGGATGGTTCGGACTTTTGGACCATTGACAGGAAATTCTGGTGCGGCGGTTGTTTATTTCCGCCAGGAGAGAAGTCAAGTCCACCATCAAATATGAGCCGTCTATGGTCCCTCACCTCGACACTGGTCACTCCCGAGTTGGCCGGGCTCTCAGCATTGCTAACATTGCTAGCTGTCTCCTCCTCCTCCTTCCTGCCGGTGATGATGACATCTTCGCACAAGGTGAAGATTTATATTTCGTTTTTGTACGAGCAGCGAGTATTGTGCTCTACGTTGGTGCTGCAGCTGGTAGCAGTGCCATAATGGTATGAGTAGCGTGGCAGTTATTAGAATCAGTTCGTCCATTTTCGTGAGGTAATGTTTGTAAACATTGAGGGGATTTCTACTCGCCTACTTGACAACACGCTGACGTCAGACCACCGCCCATTTATAAACTAATTGATGTCAAATATAAGGTGAGGAAACCCACGTAGATGAACGTAACTGTGTCATGTAAAGTTCTTTAGTCCGCTCACAGAATTGCAATGTGAATGCAAAACCAAGGGACCAAATGTACACAGTGTAACAAAAACATGAACCTTGGTCCGGACTTTCAGGTCTGAAAATGCCCTAACACTGGCAGCGGCGTCCCACAACCAGGATGGCGTTGCTGCTGACACATGATAGTCATCCTTCGGTTTCCCTTCAGGTAGCCCTGTTGAGTAAGTGGCTTCATTTTGAGCTGCTATGTTAGCACTGCTAGCTGTGCTGACATTGCTAACTGTGCTAGCAGAGCTAACAGTGATAACATGGACAACAATGCTAAAAGGTGATTGTATGAGCGGCACCACCTGTTAGCTCCCGCCAGACCTGGTGTGCAGTGCAGTCATCTGATCAACCGACAGACCAACATGTGTCACCGGTCACAAATATTCTCTGACATTCCTGAAACACACACTGTAGTTTATCTGACTCAGTCCCACATACTTTGTCCTGCTGCCCCAAATACTCACTAGAGCACCAAATGTGGATTAATCCGCCACTGAAAATAGTCCCCAACAAATGCACTATTGCCTTTTATTTGTGTGATCAAAGCTGCATTAACCAGGTGTTTATCAATCACTGATGACTGGTGTAATAAAGACTGATGTCTTCAGCAGGAACCAGTGAGCTCAGACAGTATTTGGAGACAGACTAACACACTGTTGGTTCGTATCGTCTCATGAGACATGTTGACAATAAGAAATATGTGGAACATGTGTAGATCTTATCTTTTTACTCTATAGTCGTTATGTAACCTGACGAATCAGAGAACAGTGAGGAGGATGATGGAAGATTAGAGGAAACGCCCACAGCGCGATCTACAGAGTGATGACAGAGCAACTTGATGGTTTGGCTTGTGAAGATGTTGAAATAAGATTATTTCTGATTCATCATTGATAAACATGTTGGGACACATGAAGGAGGGAGTCTGTCCTTTGACTCCACACATCTACTTCATTTATACTTTTCTTTTATACTTTTCTTTTCTGGAAATCAGTGGAGTGATTCCTCTTGTTAATTTGTGTTTTATATTTATATTGTACAGTTTGTGCTTGAAAAATCTGAGAAAAGTAGCAGCAGTACTCACTTCCTGCAATCTCTGGATCCATGTATGATGGCCCTACACTGTGACTGCAGGACTCTTAGAGGGTTTTATTGACCTTTCAGGATGAGTAACAGCTGTAGCAGAGCTGAGATGATAGATGTGCGGGATGAACTCTGGTTCAGTGACTTTTTTTATGAGTAACAATGTTATGGGTCGTAAAAATGGTGCATTTAAGGCTAAAGTGTGTGACTTTAAAGTGTGTTGGCCTTTTTACATTCATACACTGTCACACATCAGAGCTCTGGACTGAGACCATCCCATCTTTGTAGGGCGATAAGAGGACTGTATTGAATTTGTACAGGTGTGAACACCCCAGAACAACCGGACTGAGACCTTCATGAAGAGGTGGTCTCAGCGCCTCGTTTTCACCTCGACTAAAATGAACAATGACAGCAATATAGTCCACGATGAGCAGCGCTAAAATCAACCTGCGTAGTTGTCCCTCCATTGTGACATTAGAAAGTGTCACATTTATCTTGCAAGTGTACTCTTCTTCAACGTTTGCTTTACTTCCTGGATTTTTCCCACATGGAAATTCTGACCAATCAAGAGCAGCTTTCTCACACAAGGCATTTGATCTGGTCCTCTTGTAAATGCTGCCGTGAGAACACAAACCAACTCTAGGCAATTATACAACTTTGGAACAACATGAGTCCCTGATTCAGACCAGAGGAGACCACTCTAGGGCTGACAGCAGCCAAAGGAAGGCTAAAAAATTAATCTTTAAATAGAAACACTAAGGAAGAGCTTTAATTAATATTGTGTAAGACTGGATATTGGTGTCCCGTATGCACACGTGAAAAGTTTTCCTCCAAGAGCAACAGAAATTGATTCATTTTAACCCAAACCACTACTTTTTTTGTAACATTAACCCAGGGAACTCTTTCTGGGAGAAAACCCTCAAGGAAAATTTCTCCCAACTGCATCCCATGTTTGATTTTAGATGCAGAAAGTCCAGATTTTATATGATGCTTGAGCAGGTTGTAAATTAGGTAACAGTTTGTGTAAAGCACTTCATTTGGAAGTAAAATTAAAAGTGTCTGCAGCAGAAATGTTGGTAATAATTCCTCATTGCACCTGAAACTGTGCACACACCAACAGTGAATGCAGTCGGTCTGTGTAACGCTGCCTGTTTTGGTTTAGCTGCTTGTCTGATCCAAGGAGCATTTAAGAGTGGAGCCAGGAGCACCAACTGGAGGACTGTGTGTTGGTGCTCCATGTTTGATTGATTATAGATGCAGAAAGTCCAGATTTGTTTAACCCTATGGGCCCTAGGCGTTTTTGGGGTATTTTTACTGCCTTTACTTTTAAGCTCATATCACAGTCATTATAAAGGCTATATACACATGCTGTATCTTGTTGTTTTAGGACAATCTGGGCTAACCAGATTTGCCATCATTCCATGTCCTTCTATGTGCCTGTATTTTATATTAATTTTTATATCAATGAAAAAAACAAATCTGTGTTACTAAATTCTTACATTTTTACATGTATCTCAGCATAGCAAGTTGGAAGTTGACATATTCTGCCATATCTGAAGAGGGGAGACTCTCTGGAATCTGGCAATATAAGAACCATGATGGTGGGACATTCTGTCACTTCACAGCTGTCCAAAACATGTGGTTTGTGCCAGGCGGACATGATTGCCAGTATTTTTTCATTATTGCAAGAAATTCCATTGACTCATTCACAAGTCAAAAATGTGTTTTATCTGAAAGAAACATGCAATATTTACATCTAAGATCATAGAAAAATAGTCAACCAAGTGCAATGATGTCCTCCAAGATAATATTTGCCACT